ATTCCCACATTATGGGTTTGGCAGCTTAGCCAACCGGTAGATCTCAGGCAGGGGCGGCTCTAAGGATAATTTATGGGGAGATAAAATGTTAGACTGGGGGGGGGCACATCTAGATGTGTAGGGGTTAATCTAAGTATTCCGGGGTGTAAATATAGCGCACAGCGTTATCTGAGCACCACCCCTACCCCTGCTGGCGCCGCGCCACACTGCTCATTCTCAGATCTATCATCAGTTTAAAGCGTTTTGGGTGATGAATTTTTTCTTTTTCTTTTCTGGGTGAAATGTTGAATAAAAAAATATTCAGGTGTATACTTTCATACATCGTGAACACAGCCCTACTGATGATAGATCTGAGAATGAACATTGTCAAAATGACAGATTAATGTTACATAAGAACATGAAATTTTATAAAATTCGTAAATTTTGAATTGCTATAACTTTTCATTTTCTTGTTCAATTTTCACAAATCAAATTGCAGTTTATAGAAGCATTTAACAAGCTCGCGGTAAAAAAAATCAAATGTAACAGACATTGCGAAGTACCCAAAATTAATAAAATAAAAACTAACACCATAAAACGAATGGCACGCATAGACTAATAATTAACGGCTGTACTCGCAACTACTATCGGATTGTCGATGCCACAGTAAAGATCAAAGGACTGTACGCACGCGCTATGTTCGAGAGCGGAGATGTGCGTCCTTTTGTTGAATTACCTTGGTTCTTCAAAATTCAAGGTTTTCCCCCTCTTGAAAACGGTCAGGTAACTTTCTTATTCTTATTACAGTATAAATAGGCCTGGTATGTGTGTAAACATACATTAAAAAAACTAAAATGAGTAGTTGCGTAGGCCTACGTATTCTTTTTTCAATGAATCGATAAGCTCCAAAGAAAAGGGGGGTCAGGGTTCTCCCCCGGGAAAATTTTGATTCCTAGATGGCGGGAAATGAGCTTTTCCGACTTCTGAGGTGTCTTAATTACTTTAAAGTTCTTCAAAATTCAAGGTTTTCCCCTCTAGAAAACGGTCAGGTAATTTTTCCCATTGATTTTACAGTAAATAGGCCTTATGAGTGTATAGGCCTACATACATAAAAATAAAAAAAAACATGAGTAGTTGCATACGAATTTTTTTCCCATGAATCGATAAATCCCAAAAAGAATGGGGGGTCTGGGGGTTCTCCCGAGAAAATTTTGATTCCTAGAAGGCGGAAAATAGTTTTCCCGACTTTTAAGGTGTCTTTTAATTACTTTTAAGTTCTTTAAAATTCAAGGTTTCCCCTCTTGAAAATTATTATAATGAATCAATAAACCCAAAGAGAAAAGGGAGGTTCAGGTTCTCACCGGGAAAATGTTGATTTTTAAATGGTGGGAAATGAGCATTCAGGGGCGTACCGTAGGGGGGGGGGGTCGATGGGTGCGGTCGACCCTCCCTCCTTTTAAGGAAAGTGTCCTTTAAATATGATTTTTTTAAAAAATCTAGCATAATTAAACTGCGCCTAACATGAAGGTAATTAATATCAAAATAAATTATCCTTCGCCTAAAAATGTTTAGTGGCCCTTCCTTTTAATATTTTGATTTTTTGTCTAGTTTTAAACAATCCATATAAAGTTATACATTTTTAATCAACTTGATATCTCGAAGCCCGCGCGCCAGTAGAGTTGTGTTATGTGGTGTATTGGTTACGCATCATTGCACTCTGCCATTATTTTTATACAGACTGCTTCATCCGCTTGTTGGTATTACACAGAGCCTGCAAGGCAGATCAATTGATGTTGTAAAGGCTTACAATGAAGTGAAAGATTGTATGAAAGACATGCAACGTTTGAGGGAAAATATTGACGACAAATTTCATTCAATTTACCAGCAATCCGAAAGTTTGGCAACAAAGTTTAGTATGGATCCTGCCATCCCAAGATCCGCTTCAAAGCAAATGCATCGTAACAACGTTCCTGCTGAAAATCCAGAGCAATATTACCGACGAGCATTAGCACTACCATTAATCGATAGATTCATATCAGAAATTCGGTTTAATTCTTTCAATAATCGAGCGTCAAAACTCCTTCTACTTGTACCATCAATTATTTGCCATCCAGATTACAAAAATTTAGATATTGCTGATTTAATAGAGCAGTACTCGGAAGACTTGCACAACCCTGACATAATTGATTTGGAGTTACAACTGTGGAAAAGAAAGTGGTTGGAAGTAACAGCAGAAAATCGTCCATCTAGTCTGGCAAAGGCCATTAAAGTCTGCGACAAGTTAAAGTTTCCAAATATTTTTATTTTAATCAAGATTGGTTGTACGTTGCCTATAACATCAGCAGAGTCTGAGCGTAGTTTTTCAGCAATGAGAAGATTGAGAACATGGTTAAGGTCCAGTATGAAATCTGAACGTCTTAGCGCCTTGGCGATAATGAACATACACAGAAATATCGACCTAAACTATGAGGAAGCATCAAAACTCTTCTTTACATTATACCCAGGGAAAATTAATGATAACAATTTGATCTTTAAATAAAGAGCTACTTATTTTTTTTATGTAAATATTAGGTATTAGTTAAATTACCTTTAGTATTTAAAGCGTAGTTTAAGTATTAGTTATTGAGAAAAACGATGAAGAAAAACTAAGTTAAAGAAATATATTAAAATATAAAATTGAAGGGAAAACGATGAAGAAAAACTAAGTTAAAGAAATATATTAAAATATAAAATTGAAAGGAAAACGTTAAGAAATAAACGCATACACAATGTTACTTTAAGTAATTATATATTCCCTATATCATTGTTTATTTTTCAATACAGTATATACATTTATAACATTATTATTTTTTTTTAATTAAAAGTGGGACGATCCCACGAAAAAGAAAAATTTAATGCTTTAATTTGAAATGCTCACAGGCCCGTATTCAGGAGTTCCGCAATCCAATAGGCTGGAGTGAATATAGTCTGGTGTTGCCCAAAAACTACGTTTACAATTAGGCCTATTTTGTCAGACTTGGTATTGAACTTAATGCACTAGAACGTAAAAACGTAAATTTTTCCCCTTTTGCGGCCCCCTAGCCCCAGCCTAGTTGCTCGCTTCACTCACAAATAACGCACCCCGCGAATTCTGAAAGCTTCGCTAAATTGCTCCGAGTTCAGCTTTCCCCCTGCGCTTTCGTTTCAACCCCCTTAGATTTTTCACCGTAAGCCCCTGGCTTTCCCGTCTTCTGAAGTATCTTTTAGCGACTTTAATTTAAGTTCTTTAAAATTCAAGGTTTTCCCCTCTTGAAAACGGTCAAGTAAATTTTCCCCATTGTTATTACAGTAGATAGGCCTAT